TATATAAAGTGTGCCCAATTACTGTTATATCTGATATACTGATAAAGAAGGACAATAGTTACAACTAGATACGATCTTGTTGAGAGCAACGAATGGGTCTTCCGTCCGATTCTTGATTAGATGAGATAAGATTTTATTTGAGATTTTATTAAAACATAATAGTAAAAATTGTATAATGATTTTGCTTCCGTTGATGAATAGGAAATGGGGGTTCTGTGCCACCCATCCCTCGTATAAGAAAATAGAAGGCATCCCTCAGGTCATCCCTCACATGGAATGAAGTAGAAGATATCTCTCACTATAGAGGATGCCGGAGAAGTAGGTCACTGGTCATTTAAATCACCTGTGCGATCGATCGGGTGGAATGTTAACCTATGACGCTGAGGGTCACTGCAGACTTCTCGCTGACCGTTGATCTATTGTACTTGGCCCTTTAAACTGAGGAATGTGAAGTCTGCATTCTGACCAGGTCGCTGTAAACTGCATGCTGACCACCGAGGTTAGTATCCCTTTAAAATGAGGAATGTGAAGTCTGCATTCTGAATTCAGGCGCGTAATAACCTGGACTTGCATTAGTATATATGTATATGGATTGAGACTTTCAAAACCTTAGTCTTGATCTGAATTTCAAGGGAATAAGACGCACTGGACATAGATAGTGAGATCAAATATTGGAATATATTATCCAAGGTAAAATTGTGCTATAAATGGCGCGCAACGGTGAATTTACTTGTGAGGACTGTAGTAAAACGTTTAAACAGAAATGTCATTTGAATCGGCACAAGAGAACACTTCACGGAACACCTTACACAAATCAGTGCCCAGTCTGCCATTTAATTTTTAATAGAAAGGACAATTTTACTCGACACATGAAAACTCACAGAAAGCAAACGCGGGTGGATCCAGACAAAGAAAATGTATCCAATAAAAGGAGTGCCACCGATTTACCAGATAACGCTCTGAGAAAAAAGCAGCGGTTAGAAATTAATTCCACCCAAAATACAAAAGACGTTCCTCAAAATGCGGAGAGTACGAAAGAAACGGGTGAAAATACAGAGAATGGAGACCCAGAGAACCCTCCTCAAATGATAGAGAGTGCAATGGTGACAGAACCTTCATCAAGTAAATGTAACTGGTGTACTCAGATGAAACCTTTGATTCCGGGAAAAAAATTCTGCCAGAGCTGTTCCGAGAATGGACGAGAATGCCGCTGGTGTCACCGACCCTTACCCGAGCGCTTTTACAGTAAGAGAACGGATGTCTGCGATAGATGCATTGACAGACACAGACGGTGGCAAAACGGGGGAGGAAATAAAACGGCGCTGGAGGGTCAGTGGAAACCAGAGTGTTGGAGCCAAACCCGGGAAATTTGTGGGACATTTTACAGTTTTTCAGAGACAATAGTGATCAAATAAGATATTTACTTCAAACTTCATTGTGGTCCAAAAAAGGTATCAAATGGTTTCTTACTCTGTATATAAAATTTGTTAAGTACAATCAAAACAACGAGGCTGTGTATGCCGAACCCACCTTTAGATCCATTAATCTAACTCTGACCAACGGGGCAGAAATCAAAGAGCAGCTTGCAAAAGCATTAAAAAATTTGTACATTGGTTATCAGAATTTTGAGAGGGATGGGAGTGGGTGGTCCATTGATCAAATTTTGAAAATGGAGATCAGCACCGCTGAGTTTGCTCCTCTTGCAGGAAGTAGTTTTCTTCCTTTGCCCCCCAAGATTTTAAAGAAAAAAGCTGTGTTAAACATTCAGAATTCAGATCAGAAATGTTTTCTTTGGTCGGTGTTAGCTTCTCTTTATCCCGTGAGCAGAACCGATCACCCCACTCGAGTGTCAAATTACATACAATATGAAAATAACCTACAAACCGAGGGTCTAGATTTTCCTTTACCTCTATCTCAAATCAAAAAATTTGAATCGAAAAACAATATCTCTGTCAATGTATTTGGGATCGAGAAAAATGAAGTTTTCCCCCTTCAAATCACAGAACAGAGACAAGCAAAACATCATGTAAATTTGCTACTTTTTTCAAAAGAAGACAAAAGAATTATTGTCTCATTAGAAACTTGAGCAGGTTACTGGGTAATAGAACCAAACATAAAACAGGTACATACTACTGTAACTATTGCCTTCATGGATTTTGTAGACAAGATCTGCTCAACGAGCATATTCCTTACTGCTCTCCTCATGGCCCCCAAAAGTTGACTTTCCCAAAGTCAGAGGATGATCAATGGGCACTGTTCAAACAAGTCAGAAAGCAATTGAAAGTACCCTTTGTCATTTATCTAGACTTAGAAAGTTTAACATTACCTATTCAATCATGCGATTCAAATCCAGCACATTCCTCAACCACTCCTTACCAAAAACACGAACCTTGTGGATTTTGTTATTGTGTCAAATGTTCTGACGACAGCAGATCCAAACCTGCCTATGTGTATAGAGGTCCCGATGCTATGGATCATCTATTTGAATGTTTGATCAGAGAGGAAGAAGAAATTGATAAAATACTCTCTCATGTTCAGCCCATGTCTCTCTCTTCAAAGGAAGAAAATGAATTCAAAAACGCGACAGATTGTCACATATGTGAGCAACCTTTGGGGGCTGACAGGGTTAGAGACCATGATCATTTAACGGGAAAATTCAGGGGTGCTGCGCATAGTCAATGTAACTTACAATATCAGTTTAGAAAGGGAAAAAGAGGCAATTCTAACTTTTACATTCCGGTCATAGCACACAACAGCCGTAACTATGACCTTCATCACATGATGAGCGCTGTTGGGAAACTCAAAGATAAGAAAATCTCATGTATTCCCAACAACATGGAAAAATACATAAGTTTTTCTTTGGATAATTTTCGTTTCATAGACTCGTTACAGTTTTTGAACGCCTCGCTTGAAACATTAGTTAATAACTTAGCCAAAGAAGGGGGGTCAAAATTTCAGAATTTGTCCAATCATTTTCCCAATGAAAATGAAAGACATTTACTTCTTAGGAAAGGGGTGTATCCTTATGACCACATGTCCTCCTGGGACTGTTTTCATGAGCAAGAGCTGCCTCCCATTACAGCATTTTACAATCGATTGTCTGAATCAGATATATCAGACAAGGACTATACTCATGCGATGAATGTTTGGCAAACCTTTAACATGTCCAGTATGGGGGATTATCATGATTTATACTTGAAAACTGACGTGCTTTTGTTGTCAGACGTCTTTGAAAACTTTAGAGACTTGTGTTTAAAGTCATATCACCTGGACCCTGCTCACTTTTACACATCTCCAGGTCTAGCCTGGGAGGCCATGTTGAAAATGACCAAGGTCAAGCTTCAATTGTTAGATGATATTGATATGGTCTTAATGATTGAACAGGGTATTAGAGGGGGCGTGTCTATGATTTCTAAAAAATATGCCAAGGCTAACAATCCCATGGTCTCTGATTATGATCCATCCAAACCCAATACTTGGTTGACTTATTTAGATATGAACAATTTGTATGGGACGAGTATGTCAATGCCTCTTCCCGAGAGAGATTTTGCTTGGTGCACTCAAGAACAATTGGAGACATTTAATGTCATGGATGTACCAGACGATTCTGAGACTGGATATATTTTGGAGGTCGACTTGGATTATCCAGATAATCTTCATGATAATCACAGTGATTATCCCTTGGCCCCAGAGAACAAGACAATTACACAGGAAATGTTATCTCCTCATACTCTTATGCTCAAAGAAAAATTAGCATTGAAAGGAAACTTCTCTAAGCTTGTTCCAGATCTCAATGCAAAGAAAAAGTATGTCTTGCACTATCGAAATTTGAAATATTATTTGTCGAAGGGACTTAAACTGACAAAAATCCACAGGGTTCTAGAATTTACACAGTCTTCTTGGTTAAAGTCTTACATAGATTTTAACACACAAAAGAGAGCGCATGCTACATCTGATTTCGAGAAAGATTTTTACAAATTAATGAATAATTCGGTCTTTGGAAAAACCATGGAAAACATGAGAAAGAGAGTAAATGTGGAATTGGTACACACTAAACGGAGATTACGTAAGGTGTGCGCCAAACCAAACTTTCAGTGTTTTAAGATCTTTAATGAAGATTTGGTGGCAGTCAATCTTAGAAAGACAAAGATTGTTCTCAATCGACCTATTTATGCAGGGTTCTGTATTCTCGACCTCGCTAAGCTGCTCATGTTTCAGTTTCATTATGACTTTGTAAAATCCACCTATGGGGATCAAGCTAATCTTCTTTTTACGGACACTGATAGCCTTTGTTATGAAATAGAAACAGACGATATTTATCAAGATATGTTTAAACATCTATCCCTCTTTGATACCAGTAATTTTGACAAAGACCACTATCTCTATTCCAAAACGAATTGTAAAGTTCTGGGAAAAATGAAAGATGAATGCGGAGGAACACCGATTCAAGAATTCATTGGTCTAAGACCTAAAATGTACAGCTTGTTATATGATGGAAAAGAAAAGAAAACTGCAAAGGGTGTGAAGAAGTCAGTAATTGACAAACACTTGAAACACGAATCCTACAAGCAAACTCTCTTTGATCTTTGCTCCGCGAGGCATTCAATGAATATGATCAGAAGTTTTAATCACCAATTGTACTCTGTTTCAATACATAAAACAACTTTAAGTCCGTATGATGACAAACGTTATGTTCTCGACACCGGCATACACACATTGGCCCATGGTCATTATAAAATTAGAAAATAGAGTCCATTTGATACCTTGTTACTTGTCATTGTAAATATTGTTTTGTATTGAAATAAGAAAAACAACGTATATAATATAAAAGGTTATTTATTATTCTGTACATGGATAAATGATATAGTGTTCACAATTTGTAATTGTATGTTTATGTACATATCTTTAACAATTATGACCGATGTTTGTTTATATCAATAATAAAATTTGAACTTGATATTGAGTTATTATTTCCATATTAACGGGTATGTCACTAAAATTCAGTCATCTGATTCTTCCTCCTCTCCCGATTCTCCATCAGAATCTTCATCGTTACTATATTCTTCATCAGACTCTTCATCATCGCCGTATTCTTCATCAGACTCTTCATCATCAGTAATGTCTTCAAGTAATTCATCAAAGTCTAGTTTATGCTTATTAAGAACGTGGGAAATGGCTTTTTCCAGATCTATATCGCTATTCTCCATCAGGGTTGAGACTTCTTCTCGGATACTGCGATGGAGTTTGCTTTTGTTTAGGTTAGCAGTAATAACAAGAATGCGTTTATATTTTCTGAAAAGCAAGGCTCTGTCTTTTGGTAACATTATATCTCTAGTATCCTCTTGAGCTTCCTGCCGGGTGAGTTGAGTATTCTCCTCCATAAGTTGTTTCAATTTTCTGTCGAACTATTATTGATTTTCTTCCAATACTTGATCGACTAGGGTTGTAAATCCGCTGTCATCATCCTCGTCACTGACCTCAGACTTTGCATCATATTCTTCTTCTTCCATTGGACAACCATTTTTAGTGTGTCGTTGTAAATCATACGAGCTGGCAAACATAGCACCGCATTCCGAACAAGATGGATATCGCCCCTCGATTTCTGTTGTCTGTGTATTCCTCAAGTCTAGTGGTGTAGCCCTAGAATCTGAAGGAGGATAATAATACTCCTGCGTATTTGGTCTTTGTTGGTAAGCCATTTCTTCTGTCGGATACTGAATAAATTTTGATTGATTGGGAGCGCTTTTGACAAACGTCCTATCACCCTGTTGATCTACTGACAAATGACAATTTGAGTCGTCTGACATTCTTGTATAGGGTCTAAAAATGTCTGTCTGAAATCTCCTCGATTCTGGGGTTGTTTGTTTCAAGTCTAAAATCAATGAACCGTAAGGAACGGAAACTGCTTTTTCATAGGCGTCCAAAAGTTTATTGGAATTTCCAGGATACATTTGTCGTGCTAGGGTTGCAATCTGTTGTCGATCTCTAGGATTTTTAAACAGAACTATGTATTGACTGTTTAAACTCATGGTTCGATTTTCCTTTCCTTTGTTGAAAAGATTCTGCATAATGCAGATCACACTTAGGTTACGATGGTGAGCACCTTCCGTAAATAGTTCACAAATTTCCTTATCCTGGGTGGCATCCTTCATCATGTCATCAATAACCAGCAGCGTTCTTTCACGACAGTTAATGAACTTGTCGGTTTTGATGTCTTCTGTGATGCCTTGAATGAATATTATACTTGGCATCCAGTACTTAAGCTCATCATAAAGGGGTTGCCATCGCTTATAAATCCACACGATTCTTTCAGGTGCAGGGCTTATAAGCTGTTTATTATGTAGCAGTAAGTTTTTGATCCATGTAGATTTTCCTGACATTGTTGGTCCCGCAATGATCATGGTAAAGGGATGTATGAACTGAAACTTGTCCTCCATGCCTTCTGATAACTCATCCATTTCGGATGGAGGAGGAGTGAAATCCTGAGGAGGAGGAGGAGGAGGAGGAGGAGGAGGAGGAGTGAAATGAGGAGGAGGAGTGAGAGGAGGAGGAGGAGGAGGATACGGTTTAGTGATTTGAGGATATGGTTCACTGCCCCCATGAGCAGTTCGCATATGTCTTCTCAGATTATCAGGACGTGAAAATTCTCTCTGGCATTTAGAGCATGATGTTGACTTCATGACTGCTTGGTAGGAAATGAGGGCAAGTTGGTAAATAGACTCCTTATATATCACGTAGTTCACGTTCTTCGACCCAGGAATTAAACTTCTTTGGATATCCTTGCCATTTTACGAAGACTTCTACCTTTCCTCTTCGTCGGCGTCGTTTTAAGATTTTCTCAATCTTCCACAAGTCGTCTCTGGTTTTGTTGACCCTTTGAAGCTCAGATTCGTAAAAGGTACCCTCGATGGGGTCTTTGTCATAATCTGTAAATTTGTACACTGGTATCCCTTGACGTAAGAATCTCCTGTGTATTATAAAAATTTCCTCTGTCCATTTCTGTTCAAAATCCCGCTGAAAAATGTGTTTGGTGCTTGCTATTCTTACATAATCTCCCATTTTAAATTTGAAACGCTTACGCGGTTTGCGCGCTTTCTTTTTGAAAATGCTGGGTTTTAAGACATCTACATATAATTTTTTCCAGGTTATCGCTTCATTGGTTTTATTTATATCTCTTGGTGATAAGCCGTTCAATGATCTGTGTGGTCGACTGTTATAATTTTGGACGATGTCTTGTAGAACGTCTGTAAATCTATGTGTTCTATTATGGGTGAAGTATCGATACATCATGACTTTGAGAGTTCGAATGAACCGCTCGGCGTAATTCGCATGAGTGACGTTTTGTGTGACGTAATGATCAACTCTTTGTCTTCTGAAAAAATCTTTGACCCATCGATTTTTGAATTCACTTCCTTTGTCTGTCCTCAGTTCTTTAGGTTTACGTCCCGTTTTGAAAATGTCATTCAAAGCATCTATTATACTGCCAAGGAGTTTGTTTTTTAAAGGTCTAACCCAAGCATATCTTGAGAATACGTCAATGGCGATGAGTAAATACTTTATATCATTATTGTCTTCTGAAAGTCTGGAAACGTCGGCTAAATCTACATCCCAAAGGAAGTCAATACCCTGGGAAATAACCCTATTCGTCTTGAATTTATATCTCTGCGGACGTTGAAGACTGTAGGCATCAATGTCCTGCAGCCTTCAACGTTTGATAGCGGTCAAACCTACTTTATATTTCCCTTCCCTCTTTAAGTAATGATAAATTTTCGAAGGACCTGCATAACTAATAGGATTTTTCACATCAAAATAAATCTTTTTTAAGTGTTCCTTCCAGTTCATGGTTCTTCTGAATAATGTAACTAGATTATAAACATTTTGTTTTATATGTATTATAACTTTGTTGCACATTCCTTATCCATGTTTTTATTATATTAGTTTACAAACATATCTTTACTAGTCAATAGCTCTCAAATAGAATGCAGACTTCACATTCCACAGTTTAAAGGGCTAAGTACAATAGATCAACGGTCAGCGAGAAGTCTGCAATGACCCTCATAGGTCAACATTCCACCCGATCGATCGCACAGGTGATTTAAATGACCACTACTTCATTCCATGTGAGGGATGACCTGAGGGATGCCTTCTATTTTCTTATACGAGGGATGGGTGGGGCAGAACCCCCATTTCCTATTCATCATTCCGTAATCTGTAAAATGATATTGAACATTAAAGACTTATAAATTATTTCAATAGTGGTGGGTATTAATTTCAATAGTGGTTGCAACAATGTACTTTTACTGACTTGTGATATACATTTTGCAATGAAAGCGTACCCTAAATTAATCGTTAATCGGATAGATCATATGGACAGTTTTTATTATTAAATCAAAAACAAGAAAAGTAATCTCACTACGAAAATCAAACGCAATTTAATCAATATTATTTAACATAAAGAATGAGTTGTTGTTACCTGATGTAAGAAATTTTATTTATTTTTGGTTTAATTTATTACGCGTAAAAATATGTTAAATGCAAGAAACATATTGTAATGAATGACAAATATATAAAAATCATATCTTATAACAGCGAAAAAAAAATATTATACGTACATGTACACAATGATATCTGCATTTGATTTCTATACAACTGGATAAACAATTACAAAATTATTTATTGACGATTATTTATTAATTAATTATAACTGTCAGCGTATTGAATATTTCTATCGGTTTATATATTATTGATGCATACTGAATTTAATTTAAACAACTGTTAAACTTTTTGTGAGAGATTGACATGTAATTAATCTAGCTCTGTTAATAATAAAACCGTTATAATGTCCGAGAGATTCCGAGTAGAAAATCCACACCGAGGCCAAAACGTGTGAGAATTGTGTACAAAGCGTGTAAGAAACGTGTATAAAGGGTTTTATGCAACCTTTCGTGTAAACCGCGCAGCCTTTCGTGCAAAGCGTTATTGATTAAAGACTTTTCGCCCCTTTCATACCATACTTTGAGTGTCCTGTCCCTTTCACTTAGCTTCACATTAAGGCTTTCAGGACTAAAAAAAAGAATTTCAACAACTATTCAGAGATTATTTTTTCCGTTTAAAAGATATTTTCAAAAGAAATATTTAGAGGTCAACCCTTAACTCCTTGAGACGTTTACCAAAAAAATAAATAATAATAATTAAAAAAAATCGTTGTATATTTTATTTTGAACATCTGTTGCTCAATATAACTTATCAAAATATTTCACCACTTTCGAAATAGAAAGCTTCAAAGATTTATCATTCTGGTCCCTTGTGGTCTCTATTTATGTAACATATGACATAAAAGTCAAAATATATATTTAGATTGTCCGGATGAACATGTTTGCTTCAGTAATGTATAATAAAAAATTGACTCTTAAAGAGTTATCGCTGAAAGGTTTTGGCCCCTTTTTTGATGTGTCAGCGATTTTTTTATATCATTTCAAAGATCTTGTCATTCTTCGGAATATTGTTTAGTATATTTCAACAAAATAATAACATTTTAAGAGATACAGTACCGACCGGATACATCCTATACCAGAGCAAACCCCAAGAGGAACCCGGGGTTCGCTAAGGGTCTGCTTCGGCTTCGCTTTTCAGAAATATGTTGACCGCTATAGGTGCGCCTTGGGTGCGCTCTGGGTTTACTCCTTGTTCGCTTGGGATCCGCTCTGCGTCTGCAAGAGCGTACCTCTTTATTACGCTCGGAAATATAAAACGAGTATGTTTTTAATCAGAATTAGAAAAAAATAAAATGAAAAATAATAATTCTACTACCGATAAGAAAATATATATATAAAAGTCCCTACTTACATACACGCTTTAGTGAAATTTAAAATTATTTAAAAATAAATATTCCTAAATATTTAAATAGAAATGAAAACTGGAAAAATTAAGACAAAAAAGGGAGAGATCATAACTGTGAACTCTAATCATTCGACTAGATTTTAATAATAAAGCTTGATGATTGTTTGTTAAATTTCTATGAGTCATCCTCCAAATTCTATACTCGAATTATTTTCCATATATACATTGTAAGCTATTCTTTTTTTCAAATAATATACACGACGATGTACATGCACATTGATTTTTTTTTCATGCCCAATTAGGAGGATCAATAATTTTGATGTGAGTTTTTATTAATTTAGAAGAACATGTGAAAATTGAGAAATTGAGATAATAGATATAAAAAATGAATAATGGGCACGTACATGTACGCTCGAAATTACTCTGCATCTTGAAATAATGAAACTATACAATTTGTCAAAGACCATGCGCAGTTATTTTTTCTTTCTCCTCTTTTAAAAAGTAGAAATTGTAATGCCAATTATAAACTTCATTTTTTTAACGCACGAACTGATATATTAACACAATTCATATTAAATTTTATCAATTATGGACTTTAAATACTGGTATAAAAATAGAAAAAAAATAAATCTAGTTAAGTATTCATGTAACATTCTACATGGAAAATTAAAATATAAAACCTTTTAATTGTTTTTATAAAAGAATTAAATAAATAAATAAATATAGCATACAGCCCGGAGAATTAAAAGAAATAATAATATAATAGTATTTTGATTTTCATAATAGATTTACACTGTACATTCACAAGCATTGATTGTTTGTACCATGTTTGGATTTATATCGAATAACATCACACATTCGATCTTTTATCCTAATCGACAGATCAATATGCTATTTTGATTGGTATATGCGCTGATTGGTTAATCGCTAGTCCTGATTGACAGCTCTATAAAGCTATCCCGAAGTGGACCCAGAGAGCGAACCCTGCTTTCTGTTAGGTTATGTGTGCTCGGTACTGTATAATGCAAAATGTCAACAAATCACTCATGATTCCTGTCCTCAATATCAACCCCTACCGAGCACAATTCTAAGCACTTCCGGCAGATCTAAAATTATAGGTCCACAAGTACAGCATATCGTATTATTCGTTGAAAATTAGAGGTTTAGATCATGATACACCATCCCCGAAAAAATTTCAAATAATTCCGTCGATATATCTCTGACAAATTGTCTGCACAAAATTTGGAAAGATAGAATTAATAAAAATAGTAAAAAAATAATAATAGAATAATAGAATGGAAGCGAAAGGCCTTAGAATATTCAGATAACAAAGGTACTTGAAATGTTGAAGCTCTCGAAAAGAAAAAAAAAAATAATGTCACATTTCAAATAGAAGTATGCCGAAATATAGTGACTGATTTTCATCAACTGCGCCATTTTTTATTTCTATATAAACACGATCGTTTGAAAATAACTGAAGGAGAGTGACAGCGGAAGTGTCGTCATACTCAGTACGACGTCCGTCAGACCTCGTTTCAAATTTTTCCACTCCGTTGACTGTGATTGCAGTACGTACAATCTCTTTGTAAGCTTCTGTATTATACAGAAACAAATACAATCCATCACGATCAGCAGTGAATACTCCCGAGGTTGTTGAGTAACCATGGAGATAGCCACCAAAAGCTTTATCATAAACAACTGGGGTTCTGGATGAGTCCTTGCCTATATGAGCTAAAAAAGCTGGATATGTTGGTTTTGACACTACAAAAAAAAAACATTTAAAGGTACAAACTTACAAAAGTTGTTTATTTATACAAAAAAAAATTGACAATGATTAAATGGATTATTATGAAATGGAGACTGTAATTGTTTGTTTTTTTTTAAATTTCGGCTAAAGGGTGTGAATGTATGATTATTTGTGTAATGTCGAAATTCTCATCTTAAGGTTGAACTATGAATCGTTTTATTATGAATATTTTAGCATACATGTAATTGTCGCTCAAAAATCCCTTACATAAGTATGTACCGTTTCTCACGGGTACTATTATAAATTTATGAAACTCTATACATGTACATAGATTTATTATTTATGAAAAAATATACATTTTAATTTTCTATCTAATTAATTCATCTACAAGTAATAAGTTATTCACGGAAGAAATTTACGCAATATATTAAATATTTGTATTTAATGTCTAAAGCTTACAATCTGCGATGAATCCAAAATTCGCAATTAAATATTAAAATCTTGGGAAAAAAATCCAAGTAGAAGACCGGCCGAAAGAAAGGTTCAAAGAAAACGGCCGTAACAAAATTAATAAATTCAACATGATAGATCTATCAAGAACTAAATACATGTAGTTCAAGAAAATTAATTTCCTGAATAGAAATCTAAATAATTGTTAATATAATGGCGCTCGCCATTAATACATGTAAACTGTGTCAACAGAATATGAATCTGCTACAACTGCACATGAACATGTACGTTTACGCTAAGCTCTCACTTATGTACATGTAAACATTTATATTTCAGACACTAATAACCTCGTATTAATTAACGAACATTGAATTATTAGATAATTTTTTACTTTACAATACAAAACACAAAAATTAATAAACAAATATCAAAAGAAATACGACTTTTCCGATTAAATAATTATAAATCATTGCTATTAAACTTTGTGTGTACTGTTTCTTATTTTCTTTATAATTCATCTATTTATTCACTAATTATTTTTTTTTCCATCTACGCTTTAATATTTCTTTTAATGATAAAAAAGAAAGGGAAAAAACTTTCAAAATACCTTTTTCGGTGGAAGTAATCTTATTTTAGTTAACAAAACGAAAAAGAAATTCGGAATAGCTCAGTAGTTTCTTTGGATAATAAAGATAAAAAGCGAGGGTTTCCGAATGTACACGATAAACGCAAAACACGATACACGATAGAACCTGATAAACGATCTACACGATAAACGCAAAACACGATAAACGGAAAACACGATAGAAAACGGAAAACACGATAGAAAACGCAAAACACGATAAACGGAAAACACTATACGATAGGATACAATAGGATACACGCACGATACGATAGGATACACACGCACGATAGGACACGATAGAACTGTAAAGAATAACGATGCGGGTACTGTAACTTATTTTCCTTCAAAATACCTGCAAAAGTTTCATGCTTAATAAATTTATGAAAAATAAAATAGAATTTACCGTTCGTGTCATCACTCAACAGCCATCCTGCAAACATGGACGTGGCGCTCATTCTCTCGGCGTTGATATACACAGAGTCCCCAGAGTTCATCCAGGCAAATGTCATGAAACTACTGCTGTCATACCTCCCGCTACTCGAGTCTACCCATACATTTGGCTGAGAAATGCCGTTACTGAATACGAACCTGCAAGTGAAATCGTCACTTCCATAGATAAGTCCCGACATCATGAAAACGTACAGACCAGAACGAGGCGCCACAAACTTCCCTGTAGTCGTGGAGTAAGCATCATCTGTGTCTAGGATTTCCTTGTTAAAGATAATGGGGGAACCGGCCACATCACGGGAAAGGGAAGCATAAAATGCCGTACTATCTGAAAATAAGAGTAAACAGATTGACGTAATCCATTATGACTTCCTTTTTGTCAATGAAATAATCAATATCACACGGAATCTTAAAAGGGTAGAAAGGAATCTGCTGCTTGCATTTTACTGTGAATTTTACCCATTTTGGGGTTTTGACCAGATCGGCTTTCGTTCAACACAAGGGTAAGTGTGCAAATTTGAACAGGATTAATCTGTTTACATATTTGAAAGTACGTTAATTTCTTGGGGTGAAAATGATTCATGCTGACGTATTTCGAACATAAACAAAAAAATTGCACTAACTGTACCGTAAGACGTAGATCTTGACAGAAATAGGCAAGATGAAAAATTGGCTTGAACATATTTAAATAAATACTTCTTTACATTTAAAATGAAGTGATTATTATTTAACTTGCATATTTTGTACATTTCTAAAAAGAAAAACATGCCAACTGCTAAGGAGAGTATGTCCTTTTTATGTACATTTTATTGCGTCGAGTGACCTAGGACCTACATACAGGTATTTATGTATTTTCTCTCTGCATGTTAAAATGATAGGAAGGCACAAAAAATGTATAATTATAATTACATAAATTGCGTCTTCACAATAATTGTATATCTCCAAACATTTCAGACACAATCATTCATAATCTTTTGGGTGCTAATGCACAGTGTTGCGTTTATAATGTAAACATCAGAATTTTTCCAAAAAAATTTTACTGCGGCTTAAAGAAAGATGACAGAAACAAACTTTCGTCAAAGAAATAGAAAAAACAACTTAGGTTATGTTTAAATAAGTAAAACTAGATGCTGTCATGAGACAGTAATACCCGCACTAAGGTGTTTGCCTCTAAATACACGCTCCTACATATTGGGCGGCTTTCCAAGGAAAAAGTCAAAATAATTCTATAATTTACATGTATTCATCAAATTGAGTATGAAATTCTCAGACCCTGTGACCTATAACTCAGAACCTCTTATATTTATTTTCTAGTATACCAGTTTGAATTCTATTAATGATGTTAATTAGATTTTGATAAATGTTTTGCTCATAATAGGGCCTTTTTAAATTTACTAATCCTACCCCCCCCCCCCCCCCGACACCACAACCAAACAGCAAATACTTTTTGGAATAGGCTAAATGGAAAAGTTTTGTTAAAACAATATTTGTTATGAATTAATTTAAAATTTGTTCTTGTACTATACATGTTAAAGTGTAAATGTCTACATCACATCACGTTGCGTCACCCATTATCATTTATTTATTATAGATTAAACTCCATTCGGCACGCCTCGGCCGATTCCCACTTCATCTTATAAGGTGACGGAATCGACGAAGGTTTACCGAATGGAATAGCATTAGACATGCTGCAGTCTGGTGTGCATTGGATTAATTCATTTTGTGTTGTAATTGGATTATATTTCATGAAGTTTACAAGACCTATGGCAGTCGGTAAGTACAAGTTTAAGTATAGTGGGGGTAAAATAAACCCAAACGATTAGGTTAAAGTTCAAAAAGGGTCAAAGATCATCGCATGCCACACTAGACGAATTTCATATTGTGAAGTTATCTCCCGTTGTCGATGTGACATTCAGTTACTGCCAATACTGGTGCGGATCCAGAATTTTTTCAGCCAAGAATTTCCTGACAAGCAGGAGAAAAAAAACTGAAAACAAATAAACAAAATAAAAAAAAAATGATAGTGGAGTCAATGTTTTCTAAGTTAGGGGGAGGATGTCCAAAGTCATTTTTTATTTTGTTTTTTTTTTCCATTTGACTAATTATACATATTTTGTTTCTTGTGTTTATATTATGTCTGTCTATTTGCGTGCAGAAATTATAACCTTGCCCCATAAGTTTTAAGTGGGATGGGCTATACAAATGGCTTCAACATTTTATAGGTTTATTTCTTGTGACAATTAAGACCTTTTATTTGGGTACCATTAATTTTTACCTCTGATAGCTTGACCTTGGATACACATTTTTACAAGAAAAATACCAAACTTTAAACTTTGCCTAAATTTTGATCAGAAGGTGCTAGGGCTTTCATGCTTAACATGTGTATTCATTGTGAACTGTCAACAGGTATAAATATGTTTGACCTTGACCCTAGAGTTTGAACCACTTAAAAAAATTAACCTTGGCAGTTAACTTTTGAACAGGAAGTACTAGGGATTACTATTTCACATTTGCATTCCTTGTGACAAGACTTTCTTCTGATACCAACAATTTGAACCCTTTGACCTTGACCTTTGAGTTTGACATATATTTGAGAAACTTCAACCTTCGCCATAGGCTTCCATACTGCAACATCAGTGTTTCAAAAACACATCTTGTCTTCATTATTATTTGGTGGTGTCTCCATATGAGGGAAGATGTATTTACAACAAACAAACAAATTACTAAAGAAAATATAAAACATGAATATGTTGGTCATGCATATCTCTGCATTAAAAAAAACAGCTTTTCAAATACTGGAACCATATTGTAACCCTTTCAAAACACTCATTTTAGCTTTTCTGGTTTTCTTATCATATAACGTCTGTCGTGACGTGTCGTCCATCTGTTTGTCTGAGAACTTTTTACATTTTTTACTTCTCTAGAACCACTGGGCCAATTTTACCCAATTTATATAGAAATATGTACATTTGTATGTCAGACTGTCCATCTGTCTCAGTAAATTTAACCTTGGTCATCACGGTCATATCTACTGAACGAGAAGAGACAAGGCATTCATATTAAACTTATGTACATGTACTAGTATTTACCTGTGAGAATGGCATGGTTTTTTTTAATACATGTGACCTAGAAGTTTGACCTACTTGCAAAAAAATCAAATTGTTATAAATTCATCATTTTGAAAGAGAAAAGTTAGGGCATTCATATTATAATGCATGGATATTATTACCTGTGATAAGACCTTTCCAAATAAATCATGACTTTTACTCTGTGACCTTGACCTTGAAGCGTAACCTACTTTTCAAAATTGTTGCATTTGCTTATAACTTTTGATTGAGATGAGATATGACTCTCACATTTGACATGTACATTAATTACTCATAAGAATTCAAGGTGTTTCCCAGCATGCGATGCTTTTTTTACCCCTTGACGTAGATGTTTTACATAATTTTCAAAATATTTAACTCGCCTAAAAGATGATTAGACATGCTGCATAACATTAAGGAGGACTTCAGGGAAGACAGGGCTTTTTGCAAAAAAAATGTCATTTTTCCATCCCCATTTGACCCTCTGGGGAAAATCAGAATTACTAAACCTTACTGCATATCTACATGACACCACCAACCATCTCCAAAAAGATGATTAGGCTACTGTGTAAAATGTAGGAGAAGTTCAGGGAAGACGGGGCTTTTTGCATAAAAAACATCATTTTTTGACCCCCATTTGACCCCCGGTGCAAAATCTAAATTCCAAAATCTAAATGCAAATCTACATGACACCACCAATCATCTCCCAAAAGGTAATTAGGCTGCTGAATAAAATGTAATAGGAGTTCAGGGAAGATGGGGCTTTTTGCATAAAAAACGTCATTTTTCGACCCCCATTTGACCCCCCCCCCGGGGCAAAATCAAAATTCCGAAACCTTACTGCACATCTGCATGACCCCATCAACCATCTCCCAAAAGATGATTAGGCTGCTGAATAAAATGTAAGAGGAGTTCAGGGAAGATGGGGCTTTTTGCATAAAAAAACGTCATTTTTCGACCCCCATTTGACCCTCCGGGGCAAAATCTAAATTCCAAAACCTTACTGCACATCTACCTGACACCACCAACCATCTCCCAAAAGATGATAAGCCTACTGTGTAAAATGTAGAAGGAGTTCACGGAAGACGGGGCTTTTTGCATAAAAAAAACATCATTTTTCGACCCCCATTTGACCCCCCAGGGCAAATTCAAAATTCCGAATCCTTACTGCACATCTACATGACCCTACCAACCATCTCCCAAAAGGTCATTAGGCTGATGAGTAAAATGTAAGAGGAGTTCAGGGAAGATGGGGCTTTTTGCATAAAACACGTCATTTTTCGACCCCCATTTGACCCCCCCCCCGGGGCAAAATCAAAATTCCGAAACCTTACTGCACATCTATCTGACACCGCCAACCATCTCCCAAAAGGTAATTAGGCTGCTAATAAAATGTAAGAGGAGTTCAGGGAAGATGGGGTTTTTTGCATAAAAAACGTCATTTTTCGACCCCCATTTGACCCCCGGGGCAAAATCAAAATTCCGAAACCTTACTGCACATCTACATGACACTACCAATCATCCCCCAAAAGGTGATTAGGCTGCTGTGTAAAATGTAAGAGGAGTTCAGGGAAGATGGGGCTTTTTGCATAAAAAACGTCATTTTTCGACCCCCATTGGTCCCCCCGGGGCAAAATCAAAATTCCGAAACCTTACTGCACATCTACATGACACTACCAATCATCCCCCAAAAGGTGATTAGGCTGCTGTGTAAAATGTAGAAGGAGTTCAGGGAAGACGGGACTTTTTGCATAAAAAACGTCATTTTTCGACCCCCATTGGACCCCCCGGGGCAAAATCAAAATTCCAAAACCTTTCTGCACATCTACATGACACTACCAATCATCCCCCAAAAGGTGATTAGGCTGCTGTGTAAAATGTAGAAGGAGTTCAGGGAAGACGGGACTTTTTGCATAAAAAACGTCATTTTTCGACCCCCATTTGACCCCCCGGGGCAAAATCAAAATTCCGAAACCTTACTGCACATCTACATGACACCACCAACCTTTCCCAAAAGATGATTAAGCTACTGTGTAAAATGTAGGAGGAGTTCAGGGAAGAAAAGTGTGACCGACGGACGGACGGACGGACGGACGGACAGACAGACGGACGGACACACATTTGGTTATATATTGGGTACATCAAGTCCAAGTCCTATTGGATACTGCTTATTGGATACAAAAAAAGTGTACACACGAGAGAGCATTATTTGGGTAGTTACTGTTCAAATCTTATTGAATAT